TAAAAGGAAATCAATATAAGACCTAAACAGGTCATTCAACAAAATGCTGAGTAATAAAATCATATTTTAAGTACTCCCCCGTGAACAGATTATTCCGCATTAATTTACCTGGCGTCTTTTCTAGAGGACTTAATGAAGACAAAATCAAACTTTCAAAACCAACTTTCTCTAGGCTGCCTGATTTTTATCTGACTATGACAAAGAAACGAAGAGTGATGTTCCTAAGCCAAGATTAATGGTAAATTTAGCATAAGTAGTTTATATCTATTAAATCTGTTCAAAGACAGAACCTAAGCAACTTGCCAGGGATCATTACACCTACCTTGAACAATTATTGAGGATTAGAATATGTAAATTCAACATAGCTATTTGTGCAGCAAATGCTAACTATGCTGGTACTATTCATTAAAGCTCTAAGTCAAGGGCAGGCAATTTTTTTCTGTAAGAGGCTAAAAAGTAAATACTTCAGGCTTTGCAAACCCAGAAGCAAGATCCAGGATATTAGGTATATAGGGTCTTATGTAACAAGAGAGAAAACAAATTTGCATCAATTTTTACTGATAAAACTCAAAATGCAACAATAATATGTACAATTTTTTGGTAACATAGGTCTACTAATACTAATGAGAAGAAGGGAAATTTTGGAGGATAAAACATTTCTGATAATTGGGATTCAAAGTTAGTGCTCCCTATCCTCAAATCAATTGCAAATGTTCATCTGCAAAATGTTCCTGGGCCATGGAAAATATTCCAGCTGGCCAAATTTACTTTGGCATTCCTTGCTGTAAGTACTAACGTTACTTGACAAACCAGTTAAAACACTAACACCACAAACCTTAATTTCCAAAAGTCTGCTTCTAAGTAACTAAAATCAACTTAAATATTAAAACTTCAAACTTTTTAATATAAAGTGCCTAATCTTTAACAATCATTTATACAAAGCAACTTACTCTTCCCTGACTCTTAGCTAAAGGCTAAGTATGACAAAGATTACTAAATACGAATGAGAAATGTAATCTTCTTAAAAATCTTATAATCTAATAATTCAATTTAAGAGTAAAAACATATAAAAATTTGTATCAGAAACTAAGACAACAGAAAATAATCAGGATTAAATAATCAAGGGAAGTAAATAAAATAAGGTGAAGAAGAAAGTTGAGAGTTTATCAAATGTGGAGAATGGGGAGCTAATTCACTAAGATTTCATGAAAATATACCTTGAATGCTTTTGGCAACACTAACTTGAAGTAAATGTTTAGTTTTAAAATTTGTTCTGAATAACAACCTAATCTGACTTTAACCATTAATTTAAAACTATGTAACTTCACACTGATAAATGCTTTTACAAAAGTTAAGAATAACCTCACTATATTTTTCAAGTTAGCTCTATGTATCTCAGCCTCAACAAGGGCCCTAGACTAGAAAATCAGTGCCTCTGAAAAAGATGTGGCTGACTCACAATCGCCAAATTAAAGAAATCCTCATTCCTTGTTCCTAATAATAAATGAAGCTATTATAGCTTCATTTTATTTAATTATTGAAAATCTAAAAACCAATTAAACAAGATACATAAATCTAACAAGCAGAGGAAATCTGCTACCAAATATAAGCATTCAAATGTAAAAATACCTTTTGTTACACCTTTTCCAGGGTGTCCAAGACACTTTCCAAAATAATTTTTAGTGTAATACTTTTGTGGGAATGAGAAAGATCCAGTGATTTTACACTTGAAAAAGTATGGATTTCTGATCTTGGCACCTTAAGCTATATTACAAAAGCATTTGGATTTGACAATCTCCTTTGCCCTAGTAATTTGAACTGATATAGCAATGAAGGGTTTGTTGTTTTTTGTTTTTTCAATAAAAAATACAGTGTGAGTAACTTACAGTAGAAAGTGAATGTTGGTAAGAAATTCTCATTACCCATTTACCACGAGGGGCTAACAAAGGGTAGAGAACAAGCAGAAAACCAGTATGTGTGCTTGGGGAAATCTCCGTAAATTTTTCTAATTACTCCACATACAATTCAGAGGCATTTCTCTACATATTTAGCATCCAAGTTTAAAAAATACCTATGTGGATTCTATCTGCACAGCTATATGTCGGTGTCAGTAAAAAAAATTCCCAATTATTCTTCATTTTCATTTCCTCTTGTTCCAAAGGCAATAAATTTAAACATGCCTTTTTTTAAAAATCACATTTGAATTGGAAGTCAAAGAATTTTAGAGTTCAACAGCCTCTTAGAGATAGTCTAATCTGAATCTTTTGGTTCTTCAAGTAAAGAAATGGGACTCAAAATTATACTAAAGATCACAAACTACAGAATGACAGAGCTGGGATTTCAATCTGAATTCCTTGACTCTTCGGTGCCCTTTTAACCAGACTAAACTACAGCAAACTCTTGAGGCAACTTGAAATCAGAACACGAGAGCTATTTTAAAAATTTCTATTTCGTCTACTTAATGTGAAGAACCTTATTTTATTCCAAAACTGAGTAAAATTTTAAGGAAAGTTAAATATTTATTTTTATACTGTAGTAAATATTAATGGAAGTTGAGTTCTGAGAATACCAATTTATACACAATTCCAAATTATTGCTATTTTTATCTTAACATGTTAAGTTTAAATAAAAGCATTCAAATTTCTGACGGTAAATTATTTTCTTCCACTTTACTAACATCGCAGTAAGGATCTTAGTGTGGGGTGAAAGCTTAAAACTGGGAATCAAGACACCTTACTCTTAACTAATTTACTGTCAAACCTCAACATCTCTATATTTCTCATCTTCTGATTAAGGATCAGGAGACAGATCCTTAGTGCCAGACATCTTATTTACATTGCTTCTAATTCTCACACCTTAGAAGTCATGAATTATTCTACCTATTGTGTAGGAAACTGAAGCTCAGAGAGTTTAAAGAATTTTTCCAAGAAACTGAGCTAGTTAGTAGCAGAGCTTGAATTTAAAACCAGCTCTGCCTGACCCCAGCCAATGCCCATGTTCCTCGCATGACACCACTTTGCTCACATCCTAATATAATGTGTGATCCTTGTGTGGTTAGAACAATAAGTACTACATTTGCAGGATTATTAGGGAGATTAAAGTGATAAACCAAAATACACGCTAAAAAAACACACACGTAACACTTTCTTCAGTTATTAAATTGAGAATGAATTTTTAGTAAAAAAAACTTTAAAACTAGTTATGCTACAGATGGTATTCTTATTAATGTTATTACTTATTAACGCCTAAGTAAGCACTGTAGAATTAAAAAAAAGCATCAATCTTGCTTTTACAGATAACACTGCAAATTAAACTAGAACCCCATCTCTATTATAGTAAAAATAAAATTACTCTCAAACGCCCATTAAATCACACACATAAGTAATATTTACTAAAATGTGTGTGTATATATATATATAAATAGAACAGAAGTAATCAAGAGAACTTGGTACTAGTTCCTGCCCTTTCAAATAGATTTAGGAAAAAAACAATTCTCAGATATGCAAGAAAAGATGAGAGATGCTTAATACCGGACACCTATACAGTGTACTATCAAACATCTTCACCCCTGCAGATGAATAAAGATACTGTGCTCCTCTGACAGAGAAATGTTTCCCCAATACAAGCTGTCCTGTCCTGTCTTACATATTCAGCAAAGTTAGTGTCAGTAAAATGTTTAGTAGACAGTGCACAACGTATTCCCTCAGTGTGGTCACTGGCTCTTTTTGTAAAGTTTAAAATCTACCAAAGCAAAACGAAACAACTACAGCACATGTAGGGCACATTAATAAATGTAACCTAAAAGCAAAACCAAAATTGAAGTTTCAGGTTATCTTTTATGTATATCTTGCCCTACAACTAAAATATCGAATTAGTTCAAAACGAAAAGTACTACGCACATTTGTCCTAAGTCTTCATATGTAACCTAATAACATGCGACAGCTTCTTTACACTGGAGTCGTCAATACTTCTATGACTCTGGTTCTTTTCCCAACAATGGCCAAGGTGTTCATCTCTGTGTCTTGGGATAATCCCCACAAAGGTCATGACACTTTGACCCTGTCAATTCCCTCAGAGTGACACCTACCTAGCTACAACTGCACCCACCCCCACTTCTCTTTTTACCTTCCTGAACAACCCCCTCACCCCCAAGGACCGACACAAACCGCCCACTGAAGAAGCATTTCTTCACCCGACCCATCTTCTGCATTGAACATTCATTGCGTCTCAGCGTAAATCGCAAGCAAGACAAAGCTAGGACAAACCTGCAAATCCAGGAAACCCGCAGAAAGAGGAAGCAAGCAGAGGGACAGAGGGAAGGGCAGGGGCGGGGGGCGGCGCGGGGACCGCCCGTCACCCTCCCGGAGCTGAGCAGGACCCTCCTTCCGAGCGACGCCGACTCCCAACGCGGCTCCCTCCCCTCACCTCGATCTCGCGGATGTTGTTGGAGGTGACGAAGATGCCAATGCCAATGGGGATGAAGATGAGGCCGATGATGAAGAAAATAGGTAGCACCGTGCCAGCCGTAAGGATGGGCTGCCAGGCGGGCAGCCGTTGCTGTTTGAAGGCCGTGTTATCCGGTCTCCGGGTCTTCGCGGTGCCCCCCGGGGCACACGGGGGCCCACCGTCCACTTCATCCTTGGCGTTATAGTTCATCGCCATCGATCCCCGGGGCGCCGCTCCGCGACGCGCAGGTGGACCACCCAAGGGGTCCGCCCGCTGACCCTGACCGGAGCCGGCCGAGCGCAGCCGCCGTCGCCGCCACCAGCGCCACCACCAGCGCCACCACCTCAGCCGCCGCCGCCGCCGTAGAGCGGAAGAGGTGGGACGCTCTTCCGCCGAAGGCCTCTGACAGGAAGCGAAAGCCGGCTGGAGACGCCAGTGGGAGGGCGAGAGGAAGGAGGGAGAAGATGGAGGGACAAGGGGAGGGGAAAGGGGAGGAGAATAGGTGGGGGAAGGAAAAGGCGGACGTACCCCGATCATCTGTCCTGTGACGCCAAAGTGAGAAGCTCAACCACTGGGGCGTGAGGCTACGTTGGCGCATGCGCGGCCCTGCTGCGGCGACTCCGCGCCTGCGCTGTAGGTGCAACTTCGCGTGGCTTTTGTTCGCACACACCTGCCTGTTACTATGGGTATGGTGGCGACTGCAGGTCTGGATTGCTGGACAGCTTTTTCTTTATACCTCGAGGCTTTCTTTGAAGGAGTCGGAGCATTTACAAGGCCACCTCAAGAGGGATTGAGTCGGGGGAGGATTAGCAGTATTTGCTTAGATTGTAAAACCGCGACTTTATCTAATTAAATAAATCGCCGTTCAAGGTGCAGATATAAACTTATAACAGAGGTGAGTGACATGTACCCCTTTTGTCCTAAAGTCAAAAATCAATAATGTGACCTTAGCTCTATTATGTTGCCGCTAATTAAGCGATTCTCATGTGTTTCTCTGTTGATGATTTTACCTTACTTTTCCCTTTCTTTTCTGTGTCCGCCTTTCTCTTTTGCGCATTGATAAAGTGTTTTGTAATACGCTGTAGCTTTTTCTTTTACTGTTATAAAAACCCGAACATACAGCATTACTACAAAATGAGATACTCCGTAAACACTTTAAAAGTGCCAAGTATTTAATAACCCATGGAAATACTCATGACATAAAAGGTGACTAAGTCAGGATACTAGCGTAGTATAGCGACTGTAGAAGTATAATATAGAGCCCAACTAAAAAGTGAGTAATGGTGACTTCAGTTGACCTGCTGAAGGATTTTTTTTTTCTGTTTCTTTGCACTTTTCTGTATTTTCCAAAATTTCTATAATAGTTGTATTTTATTTATAAAATTTAAATAATTGTATACAATCCACATTATACTCACATCTTTGAAATCCAGACCAGAGAGTAAGTCACATCGTTTGAAAACAAATAACTAGTTTTGTTTTTAAGGCTTACTCTGCAATAGTTTCTTTTTTTTTTTTTTTTTTTTTTTTTTTGAGACGGAGTTTCGCTCTTGTTACCCAGGCTGGAGTGCAATGGCGCGATCTCGGCTCACCGCAACCTCCGCCTCCTGGGTTCAGGCAATTCTCCTGCCTCAGCCTCCTGAGTAGCTGGGATTACAGGCACGCGCCACCATGCCCAGCTAATTTTTTGTATTTTTAGTAGAGACGGGGTTTCACCATGTTGACCAGGATGGTCTCGATCTCTTGACCTCGTGATCCACCCGCCTCGGCCTCCCAAAGTGCTGGGATTACAGGCTTGAGCCACCGCGCCCGGCCAATAGTTTCTTAAAGAAGGTAAACTGAGGAAAGAGAAACTGAAGAGTGCTTGGTCCTCATAATTTACATTTAAGCCGGGCTCCGTGGCTCATGCCTGCATCCCAGCACTTTGGGAGGCCGAAGCGAAGTAGATCACCAGAGGTCAGGAGTTCGAGACCAACCTGGCCAACGTGGTGAAATCCCGTCCTTACCAAAAATACAAAATTAGCCGGGCATGGTGGCCGCCCCTGTAATCCCCGGTACTTAGGAGGCTGAAGCAGGAGAATCGCTTGAACCCGGGAGGCGGAGTTTGCCATTGTATTCTAGCCTGAGCAACAAGAGCAAAACTCCATCTCAAAAAAAAAAAAAAGGAAAAAAAAATTTACAGTTAAATGTTTTTTTCAAACTGACCACAAGTCTCAAGAATGTGAGCCAATCATATATTTACTAGACAGAGTTTAGAGGGATGTAATACTTGCTGCCTTCTAATAACCAACTTGCTTGGGTTTGCTCTTAGGTGACATTCATGCTCAGATTCTTACCACTGCTAACGTACTTAGGTCTATATTTTGTTTTATCTTTAAGTTTACCTTCAACCCCAGGCTCAAATGGAAAACAATCTATCACAGTTAATGGAGAAGGCATGGAGTCCTTTTATTTTTCTAAGTTCTGTTAGTAAAAATGTATGCCACAATATGGGCATGTTGCAAAAGTACATACAAGGCAGGTTTTTCCTCCCCATTTCTGCCTATATCATCATGCCCACTAAATTTGATAATTCTTTAACTGATTTGCTATTCCAGCATTCTGTATAAATGGTCAGTTATTTTACCTTCATTTTTTTGTTTTTGTTCTGTTGATCTAAGTGATTGTGATATATCTATCTGCTTCCTTTCTCTTTCATTTTGTTTGTTCATAGGAAAAATGCGTTAATCCCTTGTCTTTTTTTTAATTAGAAATTCCATTTTGACTGAAACATTTACAGAACTGAAAGCTCCTGGGATTCTTCTCTAAAACTTACATTTTCAGATGAGGTCCAAATGGATGAAATTGCTTTTCCAGATCTCTTGATATCCCTCCATTTCATTTTCCACTACTGTTTTCTGCCACCACAATATGCATCTTTACCCAGCTGGAACATATTTTTCACCTCCACATTATTATCTCAGGGGACTCACAATTTTGTGATTTTCTTGGTCACATTGTTTTATGATAGTCTTTACTAGGTGGTTTTTCATTTAATCTGCCGAAGTGGGAATTTTCTAAAGAAAGCATTGTTCAGCATTTCTAAGGCAACAAAAGACAATAGTTGTTCTCACAATGGGTTACCATCTCCACATTTTCAAACTGTGATTGCTAGGACAGACTGGTGTGTGTTTGTGTGTATGTATGTTGATACATTTAGATAGCATTTGTGTTGTCCAAATGATTGTTCTGCTGATTCTTGATAAAGTGGAATTTATGTGATAAATGACATTTTATTAATGCTGACTATCAGATTAACATTGTAAGTATACAGTCAGTGCACGATCCTCAATATGAAAGTGGATCAAAAACAAAATAACAGATTCAAGCCCAACAATCTGAAAAGATGTATGTATTTAGCCTCTGGATGGAAAGTTTTATACATTTTCATTTTTTAGTTCAGTTGCTCTGTTGTGCCACTGAACTCGGTAACCAGAAACATCAAAGAAAAAAATACTTAAGAATAACTATTGGGTATCTCCAGGAAGGAGGAAGAGGAAACTGCAACTGATCTTTTCACTGCCTAACCAAAGTAGATTTGCCACACCGATGTGCTTGTTGGGTTCCTTTTATGTTTGGTGCTGCTGTAGCTCTCTAGCTTCTAACCATATTCAAACCATTTCATCCACATCTGTAACAAGGGTATTTTAAAAAGTTGAAGAGGGCTGAGAAATGTGCCATATTTTTTGTCATCATGAATTTCAGAGAAGGTTCTTAATGACTCGAAACAGTTTGAATTATTTTCAGTGGCTGGGTCATATTTTTGCAGGAACAAAAAAAAAAAAATGTCTTTTCCTTTTCAGTTGCCCATGGCACCTTGGTGGAACTACAAAATGTTCATTTTTAATTATCCCAGAGGACTTTAAGCAGAAAGAGTGATGTCAAAATTGTATAATAAACTTCATTTCCTATATTTATTGCATCAGATATTGATTCAAACTAGCTTTTAAAAATTACTTTTTAAAATTGACCATTTCCTGATTTTTATGTAGTGTTATTATAGAACATTTTCAGTTAGATATTAAAGAAAATCCCTTTGTTCTCACACTGAGAGATTGACTGATTAGTCTGAGCTCATTGGTGTCGTGATGGAAAATTTTGCAAGTTCTTGAATAGTCAGTCAGTAATCAGAAATACCAGTCAAACAAGACATTTTAATGGTTAGTGTCATTAGAGGCAAGAGCAGCGACACCAAAATTCTTTGACAGCCTAAGAACTTTGTTTTGGATGGAAATAAGCCTTCATTTCTCAGAATTCCGTACTTTTTGGGTTTTGTTTTTAGTTTTTTTGAGATGGGGGTCTCACTCTGTAACCCAGGTGGGAGTGCAGCGGCTCACTGCCACCTCTGCCTCCCAGGCCCAAGCGATTTTCCCACCTCAGCTTCCCAAGTAGCTGGGGCCACAGGTGCGTGCCACCACAGCCCACTAATTTTGTGTATGTTTGGTAGAGACGGGTTTTCCACATTGCCCAGCCTGGTCTCGAACTCCTGAATTCAGACTCTCCACCAGCCTTGGCTTCCCAAAGTGCAGGGATTATAGGCATGCCTGGCCAATTCCATACTTCATATGAAAGAGTATAATTCTCACAAGACTTCAGACTTCATGACTTCCACTGCATAGAATCTCTCAGTTGATTACATCTCCATGGCATTTTTTTTTTCCATTAGGTACCATCAACTATATATAAGGTCTTTTCTTCAAATATCATGTTGCCATCTCTAAGTTAACAACCAGCTGGCATCTGTTACATGTATAACAGTTAATTTCTTTAAAAAGGGGAACAGAGGAGGAATGAGGCTTAGCCTACTCCAAGAGAATGAGATACAGTAAAGTAGATACTTTTAAAACGTTTTTGTTTTTGTTTTTGTTTTTGTTTTTTTTTTTTGAGACGGAGTCTTGCTCTGTCACCCAGGCTGGAGTGCAGTGGCACAATCTCAATTCACTGCATCCTCTACCTCCTGAGTTCAAGCAATTCTGCCTCAGCCTCCCAAGTAGCTGGGATTACAAGTGCCCACCACCATGCCTGGCTAATTTTTGTATTTTTAGTAGAGACGGGGTTTCACCATATTAGCTAGGTTGGTCTCGAATTCCTAACCTCAGGTGATCTGCCCCCCTCAGCCTCTCAAAGTACTGGGATTACAGGCGTGAGCCACCACACCGGGCCTAAAAATGTTAATTCCTTATAAATTATATGTTTGGACTATTTTTAGACTTTTTTTAAAATTTATACTTTTCTATTTTTCAAAGTTTTGGAAAACCAGCACGAGAAGATCATTTCATTATGATTTTTTTAAAACACTTGAGACACTTGAGTTGTTAAAATAACTCCAACATATTCATGAAGGATCTTCACAAAATGGACTTAAATGTGAAAGTCAGCTTTTGTTGAGCCTCAGAAATCAAACACATTTTTTGTCAGTAGCACTAAATATTTATGACACCAAAGGCAAAGACCAAGGCTTCCCTCTAACCAGCATTCCATGAGGAACAAGATAGGTTCAACGAAAACTGTTTCCCAACATCATCAGAGACTGTTTTTATTCATTTCTAAATTTCGAAACCCTGGCAAAGTACCCAGGACACAAAAGCTACTCGATAAATCTTGTTGAACTGACCTGATCTACTGTCAATGAACTCACATTATATAATGAAGTCAGTGCCACATAAGATGTGTGTTTAAGGGGTTATAGGAGCTCTGATGAGGTACCATATCTCATCCCCCTTATGATGTCAAAAACTAAACTGAGAGGAAATTGGAAATAAGGTCAGAATTACATTGTGGTTCTCCAAGTAGGAAAATAAAGAAAGGAGAGTCTTATGCTAATATTACATGTACTATAAATGCCAAGCAGGACTGTGTGCTCTGGGTGATTATGTTCTTTTTCTCAAGCAGGATTTCAGCAGATTGTGGTGACCACGGAAACAGACATCTCTGGTGCCCTCCGTTTCTGGGAGATAATCAGTTTGTCCCACTGCCTGCTTGTGTCAGTGCTGTATGTGGGCACCAATACATGCCTCTTTGTGAAGCAAAAATGAGCACATTTCTCTGAATAAAACCGTATAAACCATCTTGAGGCCTGGTGAAACTCTTGTCTTTTCAAAGACATACCTTCCCTTAGAATCAGTGATTACTGAGGGTCTTTTCTTGTTTAATCCAGATGATCTGCCTCTGAAACCTTCTGTGGGCACAGAAATTTCTGCAAGGAAAGCATCAGCAACCAGGATAATTTGGTGAGGAGGATTTGGCACAGAATACCCTGACGTAGGTACTGCTCCTGAAGGAGCAATCCTCTGGGGTTAGGAGTCAATAATTAGGTGCCTACAAAACACCCTTCTACTTTGAATAAACATGCCTTGCTGTCAAGGAGAAGAAAGAACTGTGCACTGAAATCCAGAAGAGCCAAACAAAGAATGTGGTTGCTATCATGAAAAAGATCCTGAGTATCAGGGAAACGGAGACAGGGCAGTTGAAGGAAGGGTAGGAAAAGGCTACTTCCTAGCATAAATTAATACATTTTTTTATTATTTAATAAGAGAAATGCATTTTTTTTGTTTCAAATAAGGCAACGATAAGTTAGGACTGGATATAGCTATATAGATCCCTATTCCTGGCACAGGCTGATAAAAATAAAGGAGGTCAGAACACAACCCCACTTTCACCCACATCCCACTTTGCAAAAACCATGATCCAACTACCTCTAGATACTGGGCTGTGGACTGCTAGCAAAGCCTCAGGAGCCTTTGCTCTGCTGATTGATCTGCCTTTAGATGGACAGCAGCAGCTGTGGAGTAACATCTGAATGTTGATTGACGAAGCAGTTTGTGAGAATAACGCAGGAAGGGAAAACCCTTAACCAGTTTCTATTTCTTGTTGTCTTAAGTTTGCATTTTGCTAAAGAATCAAACTGTAGTGCAATCCAGAGGAAGAGCATTTCTCATCCTGGCAGTCCTGCTGTACCACGTCTGCTTATCCATAGTGAAAGACACCATATTTTTAAGAAAATATACAATGCAGAGATGAAAACTATTTTAAAGCAAATTATTTTAAATAAAAAGAAAGTTGCATACTCATTTTAAATGATTTTAATTTTCTGAATTTCCAACTCAAAAGATATTGCACAATGCTTTAGTATTATACTTGTTACTTTTCTCACACTGGTGAGATTTTGTTAAACATAGTTGACTTTGGAAGTAACACAGAGAATGTTTTCACTGGTAAATAATTTCAATGACCTGTGAGGAACTGAAAGCAAGATACTACATTCATATAAAAGATAAGTACATATCCATAAATTCACTTGTATTCAATAAAAAATAATATACTTCTCGTACTTAATAAAACTTAAAGGAAACAAAATTTAAAATGATGCAAAAATAGAATGTATTTTTAAAAGTTTTCAGTGTACTTTTGCTTTTGAAAATCCTTAGACCTGAAAGAATTCTAAGAATATCTGGCCACATTATAAGCCTCTTATTTGTAGAAGATAACACTTCATAATTTTAAAACAAAATGTAGATTAAATAAATATAGTCCTGCATTATTAAAATAAAATCTGTGATCATAAGGTAAAATTTCCCTAAATAATAAAAACAAAAAACAACACCAGAAAATAAATGTATCATGTTATGGCATCTATAAACATTTCTGTTCAAATGTATGCATCTACAGCATTATCTCTAGGTAATACAGTTATTACCACATTATTATGGAATAAATGCTGAAAATTTAAGAAAAAAATTAATGATCACTAGGCTGAAGTCAATAACAATAAACTCAACTTTTATAAATTTTTATTGGAGTGATTTTTACTGTATTACAGCAATTTTTTTCTTTTTTTTTCCTTTGCTTTGTAATTTATATTTTTAGCAGAGGCCTAGCACTGGGGATAAAGAAAAGGAAATATGCCTCAGGTGCCAGTTGTGTTTTTTTAAATTTCCATTTTGCACATTTGCTATTTTTAGATTTGTTGTGCATGAAATTCATGAACACTTTTTTTTTTTTTAATTTATTTCCAGGAAACATCAGCTTAATCCATATGGACCTAGGAGATATTTATAGAATATGTATCATACAACAGCTACAGAATATACAGTTTCTCGTTATTACAGGATAGAAGGCAAAAACTACATTATTTGAGGCAACACTTATTCTTGTTCTGCCACTGATTTTTAGTAGCTGTGTATTACTTCAGTAGTGTTGGTATCTCTACTAATGCTTAAACTGGAGATTCCACACCATGAATTTTTTTATGGTCATCCTAAAATACAATGAATTCTTCACATTTTGTGAAAATTACAGGCATCTGACCGCGGGTGTATTTATTATCTTCATCAAACTTGAATATTTTATAAAATACTTGAAAAAATATCTCTACCAAAGATACCCTCATGAAGCACTCTCTAATCAAAAAGAAAAGGATAAAATTATGGGTTCGTTCAATTGTAACTTGAACTGGAAACACTATAATTATTTTTCAGAAAACAATTATTTCATTATAATGATTCCCATTTAGATTGATGATTGGAGACTTATTTACAATAAAAGATAGAGAAATTATAGGAGCCTAGGATAGTGCCAGGATCACATGTGAGGGCAGTTTTTTCAATTGTCTATACATGTTAAGATATGACTATTAATGATCTTATTCATTAGATAAGGAGATGATCAGTGTTTTCTGGGATTTTTTGTTAATTTTACATATTCTCTTCAAAATTAATTTTATTCATATTTCACTCAGATTGCATTTGGGTTTAAACAGAGAACTTAGTCATAGCATGGATAGACAAAGCTCAGCATCTATCTAAATGACTCTGTTGCACCATCATCCTCATTGTTCTTGTAAGTTCCAAATTCATTATAAATCAAGGGGGGAAAACCCTTCAAATCCAAATATACATATGTTTCTTATAGTATTTTAATTTAAATCAAGAAGTATTTAAAATCTTACCGTCTAACATTTTCACTATTAGTGTAATATAATTCCCACAAGTTGAGAAGGTTATTTGCTTCAAATACTAATCTAATATATCAGAATAATTGTGCCATCAGAGGTACAAACATTGGCAAATAGGAAACTTAACTGAGTCAAAAAATATGACAGTACTAACTAAAAGACTTCTAACTGAAAATGTCATTACAGTCAACATTTTCAGAAAATGAAACCCAGTAACAATTCTAAAAATTTTCACACATACACACTCTAGTTTTCTTTGTAACCAAAATTCTGGAAGGCTATGTGATGTTTTCACAATCATTCAAGCTAGGGCAAGCCTACTGTGACATTTCTTTTACTTTAAAAAATTAAAAATAATTTTAACATGTTATATAATTTATAATACATGTTGAAATGATTTGCCAGTTCCCCAAGGTGTACCTTAAATCCTTCCGAGATTACATAGGGGAAGAAATCCAGCATTAATTTTTCTATTCCAGAGTCTCAATTTGACACGCATCTGCGGGCTTCTAAAGTTGAGCACAACCTGTGGACTAGAGAAATGGCCAGCAGTCCTCCTTGTGTGGCTCTTAGTTATCCCTGTGACACTCAGAAGCATTCTCTCTTTAATTTCAGTAACATTACATGATAAACGATTTCCACATTCAGAAACTGATGTGTCGACTCTTACTTTATCTTTAAAGTTAAAGACCTTATTGAAAATTTTAAAGACCATATTAAGTCTTTTTTTAAAAAATTGTATTGCCAGGGTTTAGACTTTAGATGCACATTTTCACATAAATCTAAATTCAACAGTAGCTCTGATGTTGAGATTTGAATAATGCATGTTGTGCTTTTCATCTTCAAAGAATATGTTCTCTAACCTATCGGTAGTTATGAAAATCTGTTGAAATCAAGGGGGAAATAGTTGTCTATCCTGAGATTTCTTGTATTACTTTCTCTTTCTGGGTTTTTGGGGGGTTTTTTTGTTTTGTTTTTTATGGTTTTATCTTTGTTTTGAGACAGGGACTCACTCTGTCACCCAGGCCTGAGTGCAGTAACACACAATCATGGCTCACTGCAGCCTGCATCTCCTGGGCTCAAGTGATCCTCCTACCTAGCTAGAACTACAAGCTTGTACAACCACACCAGTTATTTTTTTTTTTTTTCTTTGTCTTACTGTGTTACCCAAACTAGTCTTGAACTCCTGGGCTTAAGCGATCCTCCTGCCTTGCCCTCCCAAAGTGCTGGGATTACAGGAATGATCCACCATGCCCAGTCTTCTTTTTTTGAAAAGATGCTGGCATTTTATTTTCAAGTTTTGATTGGATTAGATTATGAGAACTATCTCTATATCAAGTCCTATTGTAAGTCTTATACATAAGTAAATAATGGAATCAGAATGTAATTGAACTGTCAATCAAAGCTGTTCTTATTACCCTTACTTGGTTAAACTGGTGCATCTCCTTTTATGAATTTGTTCTGTATAAAAATCAATTCATCCAAGGTTATTGGCCCAGAACACCAGAACAAACAAGTTTAGAAACTGATTTTCAATATTTAAAATTAAGCTTTTTAGTCAGAGCATTATTTGTTAGTATTGAACCATGATCAGAACCATAGCATTGTACAAGCAATAAATAGTAAAACCTCTTCCAGGATCTCCTGCTTCTAAGCTTTACCTCTTGAATTTACCTCAGAAAATATAGTTGTACTTTCTTTATTTCAGAATTAACAAATTGATAAAGAGAAAATAATTATAGGTTACCATTTTGAATGTAACAATACCAATACTTTGAATAACTGACAGTGCATTCTGCAGATATATGTGCCAGAGACTATGAAAAAGAAAACACTTTAGGAAAAAAACACATTACAAAATGTATTATAAAAAATAAGTTATACAGCATGTGCCCATGGACCTGAAAGCTTTGCAGAAGGAAATTTCTCTTGGCATAAAGATTGAATTGCTCTTGCTATATATTTTCATATTATCAGCAAGGCCATTTTCAGCTTTTACATTATATACTTTTTTTAAAAATCACTGGAAGTAGTAAAATATTTCCAGTAGTGATCAGTAGCATGGAGGACCTTAGTCATGATGGAGGGCTATCCATTCAACAGGGATTCAGAGGA